TCAATGCACCTGATTGGGTGTTCAATGCACCTGATTGGGTGTTCAATCTTATTGTTTTGTGGGGTTATCAGGTAAAAGTGCACAGTGAGCCTATTCTAATCCATATTCCCATTATAATGACTGGTGTATTGTCTTTGAATATTCATAACGGAATTGACATTTTCTATATTTTATTTTTTAAGAAATATCGAGCAACTGTCACTTTTATATTGTTTTGTAAAATGTCGTGACGACCTTGCATTTTATTATTGAAATAACAGACAAATTCCCTTCCCATCCGACAGTCACACATCTGAAGATGTAGCATCAATTCTTCGCTTGGTAACCCTTTCACCTTGTGAGAATGGCCCGATAGCCACCGAGGACAATATTCTCTGGCTTATTACGAAACGTGATATGAAAATACATCACAATTATAAAACCCTTAAGCACCAGGCCCTGGTATAAAAGTCAGCCATTAAATCTTCAGTTCATGCTGTATTTGTGTCATGATAAATCGGTAATATTGACCTCGGATTTGTGGAGGTCCATTTTGGAATGACTTCCCCATTTGGACCTGAAGATGTCACGTTTGAATCCAGAATGAGAGTCAATAATATTCGCGTTTAATCCCTTCTGATTCATAAAGCCGTGTGACTACTTCGCGCTATTGCAACTTCTGTTTGTTCGCGTCGATATCCAGCTTGTGGGCCTCTCATGCAGCGTTGGGGGCAGATCAGAGAATACAACGCCTATTACTTTGAAACTCTCTGTTGGAAAAATGTAGCCAACAGTTCACCGGACGTTAACATTTATCATCGATGTTGTAACACAATATCTCCTACGGGACACCTCACTGGTTAATACTCCCTTGTTTATCACACGTCGTTATGCGCCTTATGCGTGTTGCACACGACTGAGACAACTGGGAAGTATTTAAGCAGTTTGGGATGAGAGTGAAAGTTTAACATGGCCTTTCAGCTGAAAGATTCCTGGATGGAGATTTGTGTAAGATGAAGAGCGGATTAACTTGACTTGATTAATTACAGACCACCGTCATATAGCTGGAATATTGCTGAGTGTGGCGTTAAACAACAAACAAACAAACAAACAAACACGTCTGTGAGAGGAGGGTCAAACAACTAATACTTAGGGATGGATGATTACGGACAAAGCTACACATGAACTCCAGGCAGAGTCAAGCTGCCTTCTAACAAAACTAGGACTGTGTTGATGACAGAACTTTAAAAAAAAAAGTAATGTCAGAAGAATGAAGACGAACATCATAAACGTCCTTTAGAACTTCAGGTGAACCTTTTGAATACCAACAAGTATACCAAATACCTGGCAAGGTCAAATTAAGGATATCTATTCTGTCTATCTTTCTATGGAAGAAGGTGTATATATATGCTTCTATGAAAGAAGGTGTCTATATATGTTCTATGAAAGAAGGTGTCTATATATGCTTCTATGAAAGAAGGTGTCTATATATGCTTCTATGAAAGAAGGTGTCTATATGTGCTTCCATGAAAGAAGGTGTCTATATATGTTTCTATGAGAGAAGGTGTCTATATATGCTTCTATGAAAGAAGGTGTCTATATATGTTCTATGAAAGAAGGTGTCTATATATGCTTCTATGAAAGAAGGTGTCTATATATGCTTCCATGAAAGAAGGTGTCTATATGTGCTTCTATGAAAGAAGGTGTCTATATATGCTTCTATGAAAGAAGGTGTCTATGTATGCTTCTATGAAAGAAGGTATATATATATGCTTCTATGAAAGAAGGTGTCTATATATGTTCTATGAAAGAAGGTGTCTATATATGTTTCTATGAAAGAAGGTGTATATATATGCTTCTATGAGAGAAGGTGTCTATATATGCTTCTATGAAAGAAGGTGTCTATATAAACGCACTATTTTCAGAACGCCCAGCGAACAAATTTATTTTTTCATTTTTATCTGGAACAATTTTATTTTTAAAAAGCCGCCCCCCCAAAAAAAAAACAACAACAAAAAACACACACACACATACACTTCCGAATATGAAACAGTTGGTCCCTAAACAATGTATAGTCGTATACCTAAATGCATTTATAAAGTGGCAAGGTAGCACAATCTTGGCTTTACAGGAATTATAAATGTTTTGGAACATGTTTTGGAACACATTAAGTTGAAAGACATAAGGAACGAGATGATCTTATGCAGTGCAGGGAGGTGCTTTAAGAGCTGTTCCATTGAAGATAGGTCTCGGTTTGATATGTAAGGCTGGATAGCCAGTAATGACAACACACATATGGCCATCCTATTAAGGTAGAAGTGACCGGTCCATTAGAGACTAGACCGTCTCTGGCGCCTTGTGGTCATATCTTGATCCCCCAGCTCTCAACACGGACGCGGTAATGACAAATAATGGCTACTAAATACCCCAAGGAATAGAAGGCCGGCTGGGACATTTTAGATTTGTGAAATACAAATTGAGTTAGTTTATTATGGAGACTTTTCAGGATGAAGGCAGAAACGGTTTTCTTAAAGATGGTGGGATGCGGTGACTGATGGTGAAATAGTCACGTTTGGATATAACGTGGTTTGATAGAGCGACGTTGGTGTAGACAAACGTCGGCTATGATGTAGATGACTTTTAATCCTCGTTAAATGCTGTTTGCCTCGTGGGGGTTCTGGTTATAGAAGGTTCCCAGCATCCTGTACTGGTCGTGAGAAGCGGCAAAATGGATCGGGTGTCAGGCTCAGCAACTAGATTGATGGCGTGTCATCATATCCCGGATTCTTGAGCAAAATATCAATCACTGGATTGTCTGTTCCAGATTTTGATCATATAGCTGAAATATTGATCAATATGGCGTTAAACATCAAACAAAGAAACAAATATGCTGCCTGCGCTCTGGGTTTGAGAATGTTTTTTTTCTAGGACACTGACACTGTCATCCAAAATATCCCCAATATTTTGTCAAACTTGGAAAAGATACAGCAGAATGAGCAGATCTATCTAAAGTTGACAAAATCATGTACATGTCTTAGAGTCTTTTGTCTAAAGCAATATCACAGACGCTATTGTTTATTGAGAAGTTCGGATAAATTGAGCACATTTGAGCCGTAAGATGATAAATTTATGATTTCAGTTTGAAGGTTTCAAATGTAGATTTAAACCCAGCAATACGTCGCAGTATTGTGTGATTTCGATTTGAAACCCAGCACGATATCGCTGTATTGTGTGATTTCGATTTGAAACCCAGCACGACATAGCTGTATTGTGTGATTTCGATTTGAAATCCAGCATGATATCGCTGTTTTGTGTGATTTCGATTTGAAACCCAGCACGATATCGCTGTATTGTGTGATATCGACTTGAAACCCAGCACGATATCGCTGTATTGTGTGATTTCGATTTGAAACCCAGCAGGACATCGCTGTATTGTGTGATTTCTATTTGAAACCCAGCACGACATCGCTGTATTGTGTGATTTCGATTTGAAACCCTGTACGACATCGCTTTATTGTGTGATTTCGTTTTGAAACCCAGCACGGCATCGCTGTATTGTGTGATTTCGATTTCATTTTTGATAAAATTTCATTTTGTAATTAGAATGTGTATATTTACACATATAATGGTACATGTATGATATAAAATGATATATGAGATGTGAAATAAGTTAATATGTGAACGGAAATCGCGACACCAATGTTAAATGATGTTCTTCAAGCAGTACCACGAAGCTATGTTTTACTTAGATTACACCTACTAAGTGTGAACATTTATCTAACTCATAAACATGATAAAGGTCAACAACAGCCCATAGTGTCTGGATAAACATTGTTCTTCATCTCATCTTGACAACCTTCAGCGGGAGTGAGTGTCTGGTACAACATCGCTGTTTGATGGATATGCATTTATAGATGTAACCAGATTACAAGAAACAGGATTAGTAGATTTCCGCTAAATGCTCGGTAAGGGCTCTTGGTCAAAAAGGTTGCGCCTTTGTCGAGCTCCTTAAACGACATTGGGGTTGTACTCTAAGCTTGCTCCTTGAGACAATGTGAGAAGATTTATCGAGTTAACGTTGTTAGCAAGTAAGTGGGGGTAGCAGCTTAACATGGGCAAACAACGCTTACTGACTTACTTAGTCCTCGGGGTAAATATGTTTGTGTGTAGTTTGAATTATCGGCAGGTAATTAAGTGTCGCTCAGTCAACATCAGCTTGGCCGAATTTCTCACTTGATTGACGTTTGAAATGTGGATACAGGATCTATTCTGTCATAAATGGAAGATATCCGTGAAATTCTTTGTTTTCCTTTGTGATAGCACAATGTGCTTTAACCACAGGCCTACTCCACCACCCCCATGTGCATATAAGCCAGAAGTTGCGACAATATTCTGTGGGGAGGACTTTGTTTATATTTTGGCGATATTCAAGTCATAAAATATCGTGAAACAGCAAAAATGTTTTCCATATACACTGCCGGGCAAACGCAAGTATACACTTGAACATTGGGATAGACAAATTACAAACGTTATAAAAACGAAACACTGCAAAACTAGGCCCAAAACACAACTATGTTACCGCATCAAACACATCACTCTCGAGTAACCATTTCTTGTTTGTTTGATATTTAGCCACCATCAAACATGGGGGCATACTTTCCTTTGTCCGGGAGTGTATTTCAAATGGACGGAGGCTTAGCCTGCCTTGAGGAACACGCTATATAACAATACATCCACACAATCTTCCATAGCGAGGGGTTTCCGGATTAACAGGGTCAAGTTTACCGGTCTGTCGATGTCACTTTCATTGACGTACCATCACAAAAGATATACTCTGGATTTATATAATTCCGAAAATATTGATCATTGATGTGATTGTAATCTCACCTCACCTCACCTCACCTCACCTCACCTCACCTCACCTCACCTCACCTTTCAGGAGAGACAGGAGCTGGGTATTAACGGGATTTCACTGATCTGCCCAATGTTACATTTTCTCACGTGTTGTGTTTTATTTCCAGTTATCGTGCTGTGTGCATCACCTGAGTCGGTCAGAAACATCATGATAAAAGCTCATGAACTCAACTTTGACAACGGAGAATACGTCTTCTTCAACATCGATCTCTTCTCTAGGTCAGTATGTGTCCGTCACCATTCCGTCCTTACTCGTCCATTTCCGTCACCAGTCGCCATTGTCCGTCATCAATTGCACGTTTCCGTCACCTGCACAAGAAGAGTCGTTCCCAATGGAACAATGGAAAATATGTATCTTGACATTCAAGTTAGTATCTTGAAGTTTCAAGTTAGTATCTTGACATTCAAGTTAGTATCTTGACATTCAAGTTAGTATCTTGAAGTTTCAAGTTAGTATCTTGACATTCAAGTTAGTATCTTGACATTCAAGTTAGTATCTTGACATTCAAGTTAGTATCTTGACATTCAAGTTAGTATCTTGACAGTCAAGTTAGTATCTTGACATTCAAGTTAGTATCTTGACATTTCAAGATAGTATCTTGACATTTCAAGATAGTATCTTGACATTTCAAGTTAGTATCTTGACATTTCAAGTTAGTATCTTGAATTTCAAGATAGTATCTTGAATTTCAAGATAGTATCTTGAATTTCAAGTTAGTATCTTGAAATTTGAACTTAGTATCTTAAAATTTCAGTATCAAGAAGTTTCAAGAGAAAAAAAAACAAAAAACTAAAAGACTTCCGTTCAAGCACATAATACTGACTCCGATCCTCCAATCAGTCCATTAATGTTTTGACGACGTTTGGTATGATGCAGCCACACACAGACAGACACACACACACAAACTTTGACTTAAACTAGCGAGAAACAAAATACCTTTATGGTCTCAGCAGATACTCTATAATGGTTTGTAAGGAATTCAAAGATATTTACTCACAAGCCTTGCTATATTATCCGATCCAGATCCGGCTTATGACCTGGCCTAACTAAAAAGTCATTACTTCCAAGAACTCATTTTATAATGGCGTTAAACCTGACCAACAGACCCAATTATTCATCAGCTACTATCATCACCTTATCATCCTACTACCTCTGTGAGTCACATCACGCGCTGCGACACTGTAAGTAAATCCCCTTTGAACTGGTCTTTGATGCTTCATATCCCACTCCACCGTCGAGTTAATTAAACGTAGTCACTCGGGCCCACTCGGCATATTCCGCAACCACGGGCAGCATTGGACTAGTTATGTTACCTACATTCACGGAACACGTGCATGTTGTTGTCATGTATTTATCGATCTCGCATTTAAAACCAGTTGTTTTGGACGTCGAGTATTTCTTGATAATGCCCCATGTGGACCTACACATTTGGGTGCTGTTGTTTTAGTTGATGCTTTGTCCTTAATCAAATAAACCGGTGGTCAAAACTGTGAGCATTGATCCACATTAGGATTTCAACCATTGCTGCCAACCGATCCACGTTATGCGCACCCACCCGATCCCCTCTTTACTGTTGTCAATATAAACTGCCAAGTAACATAATATATATATACTTGAAAATTTGGTTTGACCCCAAAAATAAATAACATTATCAACACGTTACTAGGCTAAAAACAGTCGCCGAAAGACTGTAAACTTGAATTCCAATGCACAACTGTGATGCTCTTATTAAATATAAATCACCCTTGAATAACCATTTTTTGTTTCTTTCATTTTGAAGCATATCAGACATGGATGTTCACTTACTTTTGCCCTGCAGTGTATGTATCTCTGATAAGATAAAACATGTGAATGATGACCTCCCAGAGACTCACTTGGGTTGTATACTCCCTAGGGAGCTGATAATACATTCTGAATGTACAGTGATCAGGATGGTAATTGTATATACCTGCGTATCTTGCTCTGTGCAAATATGTTCCATATCACCAGCAGTAGAAATTGAATTTAGGAGGGTTTTTAAAATTATCCCAAATTATGTTAATTGTGCTCAAATCGGGTGTGTCTCACAGTCCCTGAACCATATTATTTTCACCCATCCCCCATCCCCCATCCCCCATCCCCATACAACCAGCCCCCATCCCAAGCCCCAGTGTACCAGTGTGAAATGCTACCCCTCCCCACCCCACCCCCTCCATCCCATCATTCCCCATCCCCCATCCCCCCACCCCATACAACCAGCTGATGACCGAGGGTCACAGTATTGATCGTCGTATCAGTCAGATCTTCTCGTGGATATGGAACGGTCTCGAGCTACTAATTGATAATTTTTTAGAATTCTCGTAGCTAAACCTCATCTACATTTCATACTGATTTTATTCCACGTTGGTCAATGCAATGTCACTGTCCGCTCAAGCGATATCTTCGCCCTAATGTTCTAAGAACAAGCCAGAGCTATATTCTCCTTAAAGATGAACAATGGCTGTGCAGAGTTGCGTAACTTAGGCGTGACAGAATCCTATGATCTTGGGTTGAAATCCCTGATTATGCTTGGTCAGCAACCATGGTCGATGGCTTTACCAAAGTGGTGAGCGTCTGAGACCTGCATCACTTCGGGCTTTCCTCCCACATTAAGCTGACATGCCGTGATATAACTGGAATATTGTTCAAAACGGCTTTGAAAACACTCACTCGCTCATCCATTCTTTCAACCGTAGCCCACCATTTACACACCCGTGAAGATCCGGGTTAGAATAGGTCTTCAGGAACCCATGCTTGTCGTAAGAGGCGACTAACAGGAACGGGTGGCCAGGCTCCCTGTCTTGGTTGATGCATGTCAACGTAATCCAGTTGCGTGGATTGCTAGTCATGATATCGATCACTGGATTGTCTTGTCCAGACTCGATTATTTACATGACAGCAATATGTACATATTTTATAATATAGTATCTCCCTTTTAAACGAATCTTAAAGTTATTATATACATATTTTTTCATTTATGTTTATACATAAACAGTGCTTCTTAAAATCACTTGTCTTCTTTTATTTAGATAAAACCTTTAAAATTAAATTTTGTATCTTAATGTCCCTATCTTATATCTTAGGATCTATTATGTGTACTTAATGCTTTTAATTAATTTAATATATATCACGGGTTCATGTGTAGTGTATTTTACCTTAAATGGTTTATGTATTGTTGTCAAGTGTTGTTTTGTCCTATTATTATTATCTTGTCACGATCTGTGATGTATATCACATTTTTTAAAAGGTAATAAATTATAATAACATTATTTTTATACATTTGTCTATAAAAATTATCTGTATCCCAGAAATATATCAAACTGTCCACATCTGTGTGTGATAAGCCACATGCTGCATCTCTATGTCCATGTCCCATATATGCATCCTTGCTACGTCCCATGTCTGTATCTCTATGTCCATGTCTTATATATGCATCCTTGCTACAACTTATGTCTGCATCTCTATGTCCATGTCTTATATATACATCCTTGCTACGTCCCATGTCTGCATCTCTATGTCCATGTCCCATATATACATCCTTGCTACAACTTATGTCTGTATCTCTATGTCCATGTCCCATATATACATCCTTGCTACAACTTATGTCTGTATCTCTATGTCCATGTCCCATATATACATCCTTGCTACAACTTGTCTGTATCTTTATGTCCATGTCCCATATATACATCCTTGCTACAACTTATGTCTGTATCTCTATGTCCATGTCCCATATATGCATCCTTGCTACGTCCCATGTCTGTATCTCTATGTCCATGTCTTATATATGCATCCTTGCTACAACTTATGTCTGCATCTCTATGTCCATGTCTTATATATACATCCTTGCTACGTCCCATGTCTGCATCTCTATGTCCATGTCCCATATATACATCCTTGCTACAACTTTTGTCTGTATCTCTATGTCCATGTCCCATATATACATCCTTGCTACAACTTGTCTGTATCTTTATGTCCATGTCCCATATATACATCCTTGCTACAACTTATGTCTGTATCTCTATGTCCATGTCCCATAAATACATCCTTGCTACGTCCCATGTCTGCATCTCTATGTCCATGTCCCATATATGCATCCTTGCTACAACTTATGTCTGTATCTCTATGTCCATGTCCCATATATACACCCTTGCTACGTCCCATGTCTGCATCTCTATGTCCATGTCTTATATATACATCCTTGCTACAACTTATGTCTGTATCTCTATGTCCATGTCCCATATATGCATCCTTGCTACGTCCCATGTCTGTATCTCTATGTCCATGTCCCATATATGCATCCTTGCTACGTCCCATGTCTGTATCTCTATGTCCATGTTCCATATATGCATCCTTGCTACGTCCCATGTCTGCATCTCTATGTCCATGTCCCATATATGCATCCTTGCTCCAACTTATGTCTGTATCTCTATGTCCATGTCCCATATATGCATCCTTGCTACAACTTATGTCTGTATCTCTATGTCCATGTCCCATATATACATCCTTGCTACGTCCCATGTCTGTATCTCTATGTCCATGTCCCATATATACATCCTTGCTACGTCCCATGTCTGCATCTCTATGTCCATGTCTTATATATACATCCTTGCTACAACTTATGTCTGTATCCCTATGTCCATGTCTTATATATGCATCCTTGCTACAACTTATGTCTGTATCTCTATGTCCATGTCCCATATATGCATCCTTGCTACAACTTATGTCTGTATCTCTATGTCCATGTCCCATATATGCATCCTTGCTACAACTTATGTCTGTATCTCTATGTCCATGTCCCATATATACATCCTTGCTACAACTTATGTCTGTATCTCTATGTCCATGTCCCATATATACATCCTTGCTACAACTTATGTCTGTATCTCTATGTCCATGTCCCATATATACATCCTTGCTACAACTTATGTCTGTATGTCTATGTCCATGTCCCATATATACATCCTTGCTACAACTTATGTCTGTATCTCTATGTCCATGTCCCATATATACATCCTTGCTACGTCCCATGTCTGTATCTCTATGTCCATGTCTTATATATGCATCCTTGCTACGTCCCATGTCTGTATCTCTATGTCCATGTCCCATATATACATCCTTGCTACAACTTATGTCTGTATCTCTATGTCCATGTCCCATATATGCATCCTTGCTACAACTTATGTCTGTATCTCTATGTCCATGTCCCATATATGCATCCTTGCTACAACTTATGTCTGTATCTCTATGTCCATGTCCCATATATACATCCTTGCTACAACTTATGTCTGTATCTCTATGTCCATGTCCCATATATACATCCTTGCTACGTCCCATGTCTGTATCTCTATGTCCATGTCCCATATATACATCCTTGCTACAACTTATGTCTGCATCTCTATGTCCATGTCCCATATATGCATCCTTGCTACGTCCCATGTCTGTATCTCTATGTCCATGTCCCATATATACATCCTTGCTACAACTTATGTCTGTATCTCTATGTCCATGTCCCATATATACATCCTTGCTACAACTTATGTCTGCATCTCCATGTCCATGTCCCATATATACATCCTTGCTACAACTTATGTCTGTATCTCTATGTCCATGTCCCATATATACATCCTTGCTACAACTTATGTCTGTATCTCTATGTCCATGTCCCATATATGCATCCTTGCTACAACTTATGTCTGTATCTCTATGTCCATGTCCCATATATACATCCTTGCTACGTCCCATGTATGTATCTCTATGTCCATGTCCCATATATGCATCCTTGCTACAACTTATGTCTGTATCTCTATGTCCATGTCCCATATATGCATCCTTGCTACAACTTATGTCTGTATCTCTATGTCCATGTCCCATATATGCATCCTTGCTACAACTTATGTCTGTATCTCTATGTCCATGTCCCATATATACATCCTTGCTACAACTTATGTCTGTATCTCTATGTCCATGTCCCATATATACATCCTTGCTACGTCCCATGTCTGTATCTCTATGTCCATGTCCCATATATACATCCTTGCTACGTCCCATGTCTGTATCTCTATGTCCATGTCCCATATATACATCCTTGCTACGTCCCATGTCTGTATCTCTATGTCCATGTCCCATATATACATCCTTGCTACGTCCCATGTCTGTATCTCTATGTCCATGTCCCATATATGCATCCTTGCTACAACTTATGTCTGTATCTCTATGTCCATGTCCCATATATACATCCTTGCTACGTCCCATGTCTGCATCTCTATGTCCATGTCCCATATATGCATCCTTGCTACAACTTATGTCTGTATCTCTATGTCCATGTCCCATATATGCATCCTTGCTACAAATTATGTCTGTATCTCACAGCACATTTTCCTCCGTAAGGATAGCGGGTCAGAAGAAGTCCCCAGCAATCTCTGCTGGTCGTGTGAGGCCACTAAGTGGATCGGATAATAATATCATGATATCGACCCCTGGATTGTCTGGTCAAGACTTGATTATTTACAGGTCGCCGTCATATAGCTGGAATATAGCTGAGTGAGGCGTTAAACAACAAACAAACAAACATGCAGAATACATACAGTTTCCATCTCCATTCAGTAGAATTTTTGTTGTTGAAATAACCGATTTACTAAAACAATGTTACATGTAGTTCTAGAAGTGACATATTCTAATTCGAGAAAATAGACATTGCTCAAAATGATTACAAAATACTTGCAAAGTTACCACATATTCATGTTACCTCCCTCAAGAACACACAAACGTCTTGGAATTCGCACAAAAACAGGAAGCTTTTACAGGAGGCAATTTTAGCATCGTATCTGTCAAATGAATACCTGACTACTTAGGCGTGGAATTCCACACTATCGACAAAGCCCCTAAACGGTTCATATCGTTTCCAGCACGTCATTGCGTGTTCGTCCATAGTAACAGATCTGTTGGTAGTTTCCGTAATTGAGCATCCTTCCTAGAAACCGGCTAGAGTACTGTATCCGTCACATCTGTCATGCCTTCTGTCGCTGCAGCAAGAACCAGAGTGCCCGCCCCTGGTACCGTGAAGACGACTCGGAGGAGAGGAATGCGAAGGCGAGGAAGGCGTTTGAAGCGGTCATGACGGTGACACTACGGAAACCAGACAGTCCTGAGTATCACAACTTCTCCGAGGAGGTGAAAAGAAGAGCGAGCCTAATGTACAAGAATTTCACATATGGGGAGGAAGAGGTAACAGCTTTATTACATCGTATATGCTGTATGAGTGAGTGAGTGAGTGAGTGAGTGAGTGAGTGAGTGTGAAGACAAAGTTTCAGAACGACCATTTTTATTCCACGAAATATAACGAGCCCAATACTAAAAATATTATGAGTGAGTTTTTCCACGAAATAGTAATTGTACATCTTTGACTCCGACACGTCATGAACGACATTTCAGCTCAGACACATCAGTCAAGTTGAGTAACAAATGTGATCCAACACTGATGCTGCCTACGCAAAATGTATTGAAAAGAATTGAAAGTCTTTGTAAGTATTAGATCCACACGTCATGAAAGACATTTCAGCTCCGACAAATTATCTGACGTAATTAATATATTCTGTCAAATCTTGAACTGATTGATCAAGTCTTTCACAATATCGAATTCAATGAGAAAAGTTTACATTACGGAACCTAATGTTAGTACTATTGAAGTGAAATATCGCCCGACCCTGCTAACGAGTTTACCTATATCAGCTTGATAAAAACAAGACGTAGAATTAGACACAAGATATGCGACACCAAAGTGACCGGATTGGTAAAACTAGGTAATTCGATTGAACAAACCCCATCGCATTGGTTATCAAATGTTGGCACTTAGGTTCTCGTGGCAGTGAGCTCTAAAACAAAACATTAATACCGTCTTTCAAAGATGGCTTGAAAGTGAGATTAAATTCTCCCGGTAACCCCTCAAAGCGCATCCCGAAAGTTCAACAGGATATGGGCCGACAGGTCTTGACATGTTCAATAAGATCTCTTGATTCTGAGGCGCCGCGGTTCTTCTTTTCAGACCTGGTTTTTTAGACGAAAAACAAAAGATTTATATAAAACACGTTTTACAGTGCGTGAGTTTCTTGTACTTTAAATGAACTTGAGATGTTTGTTGTTGACGTATGGTGTCATATGGACATATTGACATGAAACCAAATTTCAAATGATATTTTATATGATTCTTGTTAGTCATTGAGTGCGACCCGTGATGATCCGGGTTAGGATCGGTCGTCATCAACCCATGCTTGTCATAAGAGGCGTCTAACAGGATCGTGTGGTCAGGCTCGCTGACTTGGTTGATGCATGTTATCATATCCCAATTGATGCTCATGATATCAATCACTGGATTATCTGGTCCAGACTCGAATATTAACAGACCGCCGTCATACTGCTTGAGCATTGCTGAGTGCGGCGTTAATTACAAACAAACAAACAAACAAACACACAAACAAACAAACTTGCTTGTACAATCTGTTTATTCTCCCTCAGTGTTTTATTGTAGATAAATAATACCCACTCGGCGTTTTATTTCCCACGTTCATTGTACAATAAAACACAACAGGGAGAATATAACACCAGCAGTAACGACAGGTTATATATATTTTCCAAACTGATGTTGACTTCCCGCAGAAGAAATTACGCACCCATCTTTGATGGTGCCTAAAATAGCACAAACAAGAAATAGTTATTTGATGGTGCTGTATTTAAAACGGGAATCAAAGTTATGTCTTAAACCTGAAGCTTTTCTTAGACTGTTTTCAGCCTGGTATCGGTTTGGCTACGCTCGTAATGTTTTTGCCAAATCCAATTTTTTAAGTGTAAACTTTCTTTGACCGGAAATTTAGTCCATCCTTTATGTCCATTATCGAGATACAGAAATCAGATATGCTGTCAAAAATACTTCGATCGCTATTATTGCTTTGAACTGTATTTGAATAATATCAGAGCGTGTCAGTTATGCCCGTTTTATAGTGCTAGCCTACTTTTACGATGAATAAGCTACTCAGACACAGTGTGCTGACTCTGAGTCGACCAGTCCTTCTATCATCCCTTAAAGCCGCACGTCAGGCACGGAAACAACAAGAACCATATTTTGATATGACGCGGTCGGGGAACGGACCATACCCTGTCCGCACTCCAGGCAGTCCCTCTATCCACAACACCACGAGCGCATTCAGCTGCCGGATTAGTTTGTAAGGAATCCCTACAAGTAACGGTAACATGGAACAGCACCAAATATGGAAGCCACGTTTTCCCTTCACCGATGTAACGAAGATCAATATTAAGTCAATATTGAGAGTCAACACAACCGATGGGGTATACGTAAAGTGTATTGAACATAACTGAAATGTGTAGTTGTAAGTATTAGTCACACAGATGTGTAAGTGTATTGAACATAACTGAGATGTGTAGTTGTAAGTATTAGACACACAGATGTATAAGTGTATTGAACGTAACTGAAATGTGTAGTTGTAAGTATTAGACACACAGATGTGTAAGTGTATTGAACATAACTGAGATGTGTAGTTGTAAGTATTAGACACACAGATGTGTAAGTGTATTGAACATAACTGAGATGTGTAGTTGTAAGTATTAGACACACAGATGTGTAAGTGTATTGAACATAACTGAGATGTGTAGTTGTAAGTATTAGACACACAGATGTGTAAGTGTATTGATCATAACTGAGATGTGTACTTGTAAGTATTAGACACACAGATGTGTAAGTGTATTGAACATAACTGAGATGTGTAGTTGTAAGTATTAGACACACAGATGTGTAAGTGTATTGAACATAACTGAAATGTGTACTTGTAAGTATTAGACACACAGATGTGTAAGTGTATTGAACATAACTGAGATGTGTAGTTGTAAGTATTAGACACACAGATGTGTAAGTGTATTGAACATAACTGAGATGTGTAGTTGTAAGTATTAGACACACACATTATAAGTGTATTGAACATAACTGAAATGTGTACTTGTAAGTATTAGACACACAGATGTGTAAGTGTATTGATCATAACTGAGATGTGTACTTGTAAGTATTAGACACACAGATGTGTAAGTGTATTGAACATAACTGAGATGTGTAGTTGTAAGTATTAGACACACAGATGTGTAAGTGTATTGAACATAACTGAAATGTGTACTTGTAAGTATTAGACACACAGATGTGTAAGTGTATTGAACATAACTGAGATGTGTAGTTGTAAGTATTAGACACACAGATGTGTAAGTGTATTGAACATAACTGAGATGTGTAGTTGTAAGTATTAGACACACACATTATAAGTGTATTGAACATAACTGAAATGTGTACTTGTAAGTATTAGACACACAGATGTATAAGTGTATTGAACATAACTGAAATGTGTACTTGTAAGTATTAGACACACAGATGTATAAGTGACATTTCAGCTACGACAAATTAACTGACGTAATTCATACATTCTGTCAAATCCTGGACTAATTTATGAAATCTTTCACAATCTCCGAGTCAAATGAGGAAAGTGACATTACGGAGTATAAGTATTACTATTGTTGCTATGTATCACACGACCCTGCTAACAAGATTTAAACAAGACTTAGATACAAAGTAAATTCTGTTAGATACAAGTCCTTTGTAATCTGATTGGAAAAACTCGGTAACCCCCAAAAAGGTTCCATCGGATTGATTATGAAATCTTCGCAAGTAGGTTCTCTGGGCATCATGCTCTAAAATAAAACTTTAATGTCGTATTTCAAAGGTGGCTTGAAAGTGAAATTAAATTCTCTCGGCAACTCCTTACAGCAAATCCCAGAGATGTAACCGGATATGGGCCGCCATTTCTTCACATGTTCAATTAGATCTCCTGATTCAGAGACGCCACCGGTTGTTCTATTAATGTAGGATTATAGGCAACCTTTTAGACCTGTAATCTTCAAATGTGTCTATCTCTGACAAAAACATTACAAACAGATTTTAATGTTGTTTTACAGTGAATGCTTTTTCTGTACTTTAAAGGAAATTGAGATGTTTGTTGTTTATGTATAACGTCATATTGACATGTTTATAAGCGATGTATTTGTTCTTTCTTTCAATAATGATCTCTGGTGTTAGTGCATGTGCAGTCTCCTTTAGACATACATTCTGCTTAATGTACAGCGTTCTGTAAAAGGAGAAAATAATATCAGTTGGGATATGTGGAATATATTACAAGTTGAATATATTACAAATAGTCAAGAATGTGAATCAGTCCCAAACCGATAATTGAAAACCTCAGTTTGTGAGATCATATTAAAATTAAGATTAATACTAATAATATATCACCTGGAAGTTGGTGGAAATGTTGCCGTTATGTTAATAAAGCGACAAAACCCTTTCCATATCCAGTTTTGTTTGGGCGTCCTATGCCATATTGATGCTAAAATTCCTATATAAGACAACAGTTTGTTTGGGAGTTCTATACCACCAATGCTATAGTTTCTGATTCCATGTGAACAGTATTGTTCTCCTATATGACACATTGTTGCAGTAATACTTTACTTCAGACTCAAGGTTCTATTGGGGCGTCCTATGCCATATTGATGCTATAACTCCTATATAAGACACCAGTTTATTTGGGAGTTCTGTACCACCAATGCTATCGTTTCTGATTCCATGTGAACAGTATTGTTCTCCTATATGACACATTGTTGCAGTAATACTTTACTTCAGACTCAAGGCTGTATTGGGGCGTTCTATGCCATATTGATGCTATAATTCCTATATAAGACAACAGTTTGTTTGGGAGTTCTATACCACCAATGCTATCGTTTCTGATTCCATGTGAACAGTATTGTTTACATTTATGACACATTGATGCACTAATACTTTACTTCAGGCTCAAGGCTGTGTTGGGGCGTCCTATGCCATATTGATGCTATAATTCCGTTTGTGAAGACACCAGTTTGTTGGGGAGGTCTATACCACCAATGCTATAGTTTCTGATTCCATGTGAACAGTATTGTTCTCCTATATGACACATTGTTGCAGGAATACTTTACTTCAGGCTCAAGGTTCTATTGGTGCGTCCTATGCCATATTGATGCTATAATTCCTATATAAGGCAACAGTTTGTTTGGGAGTTCTATACCACCAATGCTATAGTTTCTGATTCCATGTGAACAGTAATGTTCTCCTATATGACACATTGTTGCAGTAATACTTTACTTCAGACTCAAGGCTGTATTGGGGCGTTCTATGCTATCATTCCTAATTGAAAGTTAACAGTTTTATTTGGGAGCTTCATGCCACAATGATGCTATAATTCTTATTTCAGGTGAACAGTTTTGTTGGTGCATTCCATGACGCGGTGATCCTGTATGCTCTGGCCCTGAACGAGACACTCGAGGCTAACGGCTCTATCTCTGACGGTGTGGCCATCACACGGCGCATGTGGAACAGGACATTTGAAGGTCAGTAGCGACCTGGTACACAGTCTACCTGGGTTATACACCGTCCACGGTTAGGCGACCTGGTACACAGTCTACCTGGGTTATACACCGTCTACGGTTAGGCGACCTGGTACACAGTCTACCTGGGTTAAACACCGTCCACGGTTAGGCGACCTGGTACACAGTCTACCTGGGTTATACACCGTTCACAGTTAGGCGACCTGGTACACAGTCTACCTGGGTTATACACCGTCTACGGTTAGGCGACCTGGTACACAGTCTACCTGGGTTAAACACCGTCCACGGTTAGGCGACCTGGTACACAGTCTACCTGGGTTATACACCGTTCACAGTTAGGCGACCTGGTACACAGTCTACCTGGGTTATACACCGTCTACGGTTAGGCGACCTGGTACACAGTCTACCTGGGTTATACACCGTCCACGGTTAGGCAACGTGGTACACAGTCTACCTGGGTTTATACACCGTTCACGGTTAGGTGACCTGGTACACAGTCTACCTGGGTGATACACCGTACACGGTTAGGCGACCTGGTACACAGTCTACCTGGGTTATACACCGTTCACGGTTAGGCAACATGGTACACAGTCTACCTGGGTTATACACCGTTCACGGTTAGGCGACCTGGTACACAGTCTACCTGGGTTTATACACCGTTCACAGTTAGGCAACCTCGGTTAATACTCTGTCCACGGTTAGGCGACCTGGTACACTGTCTACCTGGGTTGATATTCCGTACACGGCTAGGCGACCTAGTCTACAAGCTGTCGTCTTAGCATAACGTCACATATAGTCTCCAAGCTGTCGTCTTAGCATAATGGTACATATAGTCTGCAAGCTGTCGTCTTAGCATAACAGCACATATTGTCTGCAAGCTATCGTCTTAGCATAACAGCACATATAGTCTGCAAGCTGTCGTCTTAACATACTGGTACATATAGTCTACAAGCTGTCGTCTTAGCATAACAGCACATATAGTCTGCAAGCTGTCGTCTTAGCATAACAGCACATATTGTCTGCAAGCTGTCGTCTTAGCATAACGGCACATATAGTCTGCAAGCCGTCGTCTTAGCATAACAGCACATACAGTCTGCAAGCTATCGTCTTAGCATAATGGTACATATAGTCTGCAAGCTGTCGTCTTAGCATAACAGCACATATAGTCTGCAAGCTATCGTCTTAGCATAATGGTACATATAGTCTACAAGCTGTCGTCTTAGCATAATGGTACATATAGTCTGCAAGCTATCGTCTTAGCGTAATGGTACATATAGTCTACAAGCTGTCGCCTTAGCATAACAGTACATACAGTCTTCCAGCTTCTTTCTCAGCATAACGGTACATAAAGTCTGCACGCCGTTATTTTCGCATCACGGTACAAACTGTCTGCAAGGTATCTCTGCAAATTACAAATAAATCTGATATCCTAGCTGTCTTCAGTTTAGTTGAGGAGACGATAAAATGAAATAAGTTTTTAAATTGGTAACCCCATACGTATTGCTGCATCTCCGAGGAACAGGATATAGTCTGGCGTAACTCCACTCCAGATTACATTCGCCATGACTTGAAATTAATGTCAGACCTAGAAATAGATGACATATTGCACAGCGAACAGGGAACGGGTACCGGGGATATCCATTCCTGCATGCCACGTCTACAGATTACGGCGAGGGCATCACTGACAGATGCTGTTCATGGTTTGATGTTCTTTCTTATGGGGATACGGTAAGATGGCAGATGGAATTCATTTCAAACATGTGCCCTAATCAAGTTGAAGATCAAACGTACATGACAGCGATAGGGTTTCAATGGAGAGATCATTCTAGATACTGACAGAATGTTTTATGTGTAACTTTGTTTCTGTTAGTTTTTGAAGTTAATGCTATTTTTCGCAGAAAAGTTTTGTTTTTGTTTTTGTTTAGATCAAGTTGTGTTTATTCATTACTGCCATTGATGGATATTGTTAACGAAACTCATGAAGAGACGCATGGGGCTACGAACACAGAAACCTAATCAGGTCTAAACACAGGTCCCTGGCGCACCCATGAAGTAATGTAGCACTTGTTTCCATTAACAAACAACACACAAGTAACACTTATTCTACCACTAAGAGGGCGGTGGGGTAGCCTAGTGGTTACAGCGTTCGCGGGGTTCGATTCTACACATGGGTACAGCACGTGAAGCCCGTTCCTTGTGTCCCCCATTGTGATATAGCTGGAATGTTGCCAAATGCTGTGTAAAACCCAACTCACTAACTCGACCGTAAAAACTAAAATTGGTAAAATCACGTCTGCAGGAACAACGCCAACACCAATACCCCAAGAACTTAGCATTGCAGTAGTCTCATGCATAGTGTGATGTCCTGTGTCATAAACCAAGGCAGAGTCGAGGTCTAATGTGGAAAGAATGGGAATCTGGCTCATTTAGCCTGTACCACGTGGCGGGCACTGATCACTCGCTTACAAAAAGCTTCCTTGGGATTGAGGCAAAGCCCGACTCCGTGATTGCTGTTAGCTGATTGGGAAGTCTGTGTGCTTGGAGGAATTACAGAACTGCCTGCAGTGGTATCTGTGACCCGATCGTGTTGGCCAGTTGTACACCAGGGGGAGGGGGAGTTGTTGGGGGCAAGGGGTGCTTCTCCTTTGTCTTGTGTTTGGTATTACTAATCGGTTCCATCTCTTATCTTTGGTATTGGCAGAATGTGTTGCTGTAATGAAGATATTGAATAGTAGTCCCTGGGAATGGCACGTGTCCTTGGCGTTTGTGTTTTGACCTTGATAGGCCCACGTGGCTGAGATAGAAGGCTGTATTGTCGTCGTCTTGATGGTGTAGATAGACCCACGTGGCTGAGATAGGAGGCTGTATTGTCGTCGTCTTGATGGTGTTGATAGGCCCACGTGGCTGAGATAGGAGGCTGTATTGTCGTCGTCTTGATGGTGTAGATAGACCCACGTGGCTGAGATAGGAGGCTGTATTGTCTTCGTCTTGATGGTGTAGATAGACCCACGTGGCTGAGATAGGAGGCTGTATTGTCTTCGTCTTGATGGTGTAGATAGACCCACGTGGCTGAGATAGGAGACTGTATTGTCTTCGTCTTGATGGTGTAGATAGACCCACGTGGCTGAGATAGAAGGCTGTATTGTCGTCGTCTTGATGGTGTAGATAGGCCCACGTGGCTGAGATAGGAGGCTGTATTGTCTTCGTCTTGATGGTGTAGATAGACCCACGTGGCTGAGATAGGAGGCTGTATTGTCGTCGTCTTGATGGTGTAGATAGGGATGGGTGCAGTTGCACTCCAGTTACCGGGGTTCATCTTCTTACCAGTTCTCCTACTGCTTCCTGTAATGATGACAGTAACATTTCACTCACTCACTCACTCACTCACTCACTCACTCACTCACTCACTCATATAAAGAAGGTGAGTTACCACAGTGGTATATCTAGACCGGCTACTATACTCACTCACTCACTCACTCACTCACTCATATAAAGAAGGTGAGTTACCACAGTGGTATATCTAGACCGGCTACTATACTCACTCACTCACTCACTCACTCACTCACTCACTCACTCACTCACTCACTCACTAATATAAAGAAGGTGAGGTACCACAGTGGTATATCTAAACCGGCTACTATGCACTACAACTACTACATCAAGTGGTATATCTAAACCGGCTACTATGCACTACAACTACTACATCAAACACTCCGCTACTATGTACTACAACTACTACATCAAGCACTCAGCTACTACTATGCACTACAGCTACTACATCAAGCACTAGGCTACTATGCACTACAACTACTACATCAAGCACTCGGCTACTATGCACTACAACTACTACATCAAGCACTAGGCTACTATGCACTACAACTACTACATCAAGCACTCGGCTACTATGCACTACAACTACTACATCAAGCACTCGGCTGCTATGCACTACAACTACTACATCAAGCACTCGGCTACTATGCACTACAACTACTACATCAAGCACTCGGCTACTATGCACTACAACTACTACATCAAGCACTCAGCTACTATGCACTACAGCTACTACATCAAGCACTCGGCTACTATGCACTACAGCTACTACATCAAGCACTCGGCTACTATGCCCTACAACTACTACATCAAGCACTCGGCTACTATGCCCTACAACTACTACATCAAGCACTCGGCTACTATGCACTACAGCTACTACATCAAGCACTCGGCTACTAGGCACTGCAACTACTACATCAGGTGGTATATCTAGACCGGCTACTATGCACTACAACTACTACATCAAGCACTTTATGTTTCAGGTATCACCGGCACAGTCAGCATCGACGACAACGGCGACAGGAACGCAGACTACTCCCTGCTTGACCTCAACCCCAAAACTGACCGCTTTGAGGTGAGTACCAGCACACACAGACATCTGGACTTGGCGGAGTCTCGGATTACAGAGATAGATGTATATGTACTTACACAAGGCCGTGGTACCAGCACTCACAGACGTATGGACTTGGCGGAGTCTCGGATTATAGAGATAGATGTATATGTACTTACACAAGGCCGTGGTACCAGCACTCACAGACGTATGGACTTGGCGGAGTCTCGGATTATAGAGATAGATGTATATGTACTTACACAAGGCCGTGGTACCAGCACTCACAGACGTATGGACTTGGCGGAGTCTCGGATTACAGAGATAGATGTATATGTACTTACACAAGGCCATATGTATATATGTTGTGGGTAAAGTAATTTTGATAAAGAATGTCACATCAGTGCTTCATATAAAGTAAATGTCACAACAGTGCTTCATATAAGGTTACATAAAACTAATTTTCTTCTGAAGTTTTGAAAAACATAATCAGTCTTTCAATATATATTCATGAAGACATCTATATCTTCTCGACTTTCGTGCTTGTTTGGAGCATCATACTCACACACGTGTTTTGTTAAATATCAACAGCATTCAATGATTGTTTAGCTATCACATGCTCATATAAATGTTTTTGGGTTTCCTTCAATATTGTTTACGCAATGGCACGGCTTGCTGAAAATCGATCTCTACGCGCCGTGGGTTTGCTGCAGACAGGAATGGAGCGAAACGGAGTTGCCAGACATTTTAATGTTCAAACACAATATCATTTCTTTGGAGACGTTATCTACAACAGGGCATGTCTTACCACAGACCGGTCGTCCACTTGTGTCGTCGCATCAAGAAGACAACCATATTCGGTTGGTGCATCCTACAGAATCAATACCTAATTGCCACATTAACAGCTCGGACAATTCCTGGGTTGAGACCAATTAGTGGCAAAACCGCACGCAACTGGGTAAGGGAGTATTACATCCGGCCCTGACGTCCAGCGATATGACCAATTCTGCTTCCAAAATTGCTTCCTGTAACTCTCAGGTGTGTGTAGGTCAGAAGCCTGGGACAGTATACAGTTGACATAGGAGTCCAGTTGACAATTGCTTCCTGTAACCCTCGGGCACGCCTAGATGTGTGTAGGTCAGAAGCCTGGGACAGTATACAGTTGACATAGGAGTCCAGTTGACAATTGCTTCCTGTAACCCTCAGGTGTGTGTAGGTCAGAAGCCTGGGACAGTATACAGTTGACATAGGAGTTCAGGTTCTAATTCTACAGCTCTGATGGCCATGCAGATACTTGGACGTAAAGTGACGTTGCTGGCCCACACGTTGCAGTGTTGTAACAGACGTTTAGAGGCAGCATAACATTGGCGTCCTGCCATGTTTCTCCAGACCTCTCCCCCAGAGAACATGTCTGGGAAGAGATGGAACGACTCCATCGACAGGACCAGAACCAGCCGGCAACTCGAGCTCGGTTGGTCAATCTTTGGTTAACATTTGGAACAACATCTCCGCGGCTGTTTTCAATCATCTGGTGTTTTCAGTGAGCCGCCGCTGTGTCGCCTGTATCAACGCAAATGATTGAGTTACAACACGCCTCTTTGAGGATCTCCTGTCTCCATATTTGGGCTGTGTCAAGGAATTGTTTCGCTAAAATATTAATCAGATGAATGAACAAATATTGGTTTTGTTCAATAACATAACATTTACACCACTTTATATGAAACGTTTACACAGTTACTTTTTCGGCTAGTATATATCTAGTGTCTTATAGATTTGATTAATTTTATACGCAGGTACTCTGAGCAACAGCGGGCAGCAACCTTTGCACTTTGAATGTAGAAATATAGCGAACTGATGATCAAAGTGTGTATCATTTGTATTCTCAACTATTTCTATTTCTATTTACTCCCAGTTGACCCCTCTCATTGATGCCAGGTATATGGTTTGTCATTGTATATTCCAGGTTGTAGCCAACTATTATGGAAGCAAGAAACGGTATGAGCCAGTTCCGGGCCGATCCATTCACTGGGCAGGGGGTAGACTCACGCCCCCACCTGACACCCCTGAGTGTGGCTTCGACGGGTCCAAGTGTCCCCCTGAAGGTACACACTCCTTTATCATACGTCCATGTCAGAATGATGAGATCTGATTGGTCCACGTGATCTCGATAAAATACTATGTAAACCGCGTTGGAGGTATAAATGTCTCAGCGAGGGAATAAATTTCTTATACCCCGCCACGAGCAAGGAAGGCTGCACGTAAATTTCCGTGCTTCAAAACAAAGCCAGCTTGAGGTAAAAAAAACGAAGGCGGGGCGCATAAAACCCAAAGTACCCCTCGTGATCCTGCTACAACATAGAGCATGCTAGCTCCAGCCGTCTGTTGTATTAAAAACACTGTCTCCGGGGTATAGTGGATAGAGTGTCTGTCCGGAGAGAAGAAGAGGGTTGGTTCGATGCCCTGGTCGTGTCTTACCAAAATACTTCTAAAGATGGTATTTGTTGTTACCCTGCCTGAAGCTCGGTATTGAAGGGCATAAAACAAGGACTTGACAGCTCGGAGTCAGTAGACTGTGTCTGAGTGGGTATCCATGCCAAACTGTCACATGGTGTCTCAGTTGGCTAGCACTATACTGTGTCTGAGTGGGTATCCATGCCAAACTGTCACATTGTATCTCAATGGGCTAGCACTATACTGTGTCTGAGTGGGTATCCATGCCAAACTGTCACATGGTATCTCAATGGGCTAGCACTATAAAACTAGCATTAGTCCTGTCTAGTACAAGGAGCAACACATTCATGAGTGCAATAATCGTGAATATAATTACAACCCAATTCTACATTTGTTCCATAGCAATACATATCCTCTGATCTTTGTCTATTTCAACAGAACCCTTCCCTGAGTACGGCATCGTCATCATCGTGCTCGGCTCCATCCTCCTCATCGTTCTGGTCGCCGTCTTCTTCATCTACAGGTGAGTGGGATCCTCGGTTATCCAGTATAATAATCCCATTCTGTGAGGATCACTACCTGGGGTATTGGGTGTTTAGGGATAGGGATCTCTTGACATGCTAGATCATCTTACAAAATCATGTAGGTCAAAAACAATTTGCACATCTATTTCAGAGAGAAAAAATTATGTTTTGATGAAATGAAAAAAATATTCTCTTTCAAAAGCAATTCCTAGCTTCATTCTTTTCAAAATAATGTCAATGTTCCTTCTGCTCTGCTAGTTTGAAGTAAGCAGTTTGCGGTGACCTTGACCTTACTTCCATCAAATACATCTATCACATGGGTCAGTGCACCCTACACACCTGGATGACTTGATTTGGTCATGCTGTTATGACCACTTAGATATGAACCAAGCGAATACTTTGCGGGCATTTATGCGTGTACTTTCATCGCATCTATTTCCGGTTCTATTTTCAGGCACATCCGGTTAGAAGCGGAACTTGCTGAAATGAACTGGAGAGTGAGGTGGGAGGACATCTTGTTTGGCTCTCCGGAGAAGAACCGGAAGCTCGAGCGCCAAGGAAGTCGTTTGAGTATAAACAGGGTATGTAGATATTTTGAGGACACCAAATTGTGACGAATGTATTCAGACGTAAATAAAGTTGATTCCATAGTTTGATACCTTCTTTGCCACCATACAACTTTCTGTTAATCAAGATTATGATAAGATATGTTTGTTTGTTTGTTGTTTAACGCCGCACTCAGCATGTATGACGGCGGTATGTAAATAATCGAGTCTGGACCAGACAATCCAGTGATTGACATCATGATCATCGATCCACGCAGTTGCGATGCGATGACATGCATCAACCAAGTCAGCGAGTTTGACCACCTGATCCCGTTAGTCGCCTCTTAGAAAAGCATAGTCGTCTTTTACGGCAAGCATGGGTGGCTCAAGACCTATTCTACGCCGGATCTTCATGGGTCTATTCAGAATGTGTTACCATATGCATAATGTTTATAATGTCTATTCTCTACCATTGTTAATTGTTTCATCAGTGATACGGAATAAAAAAAACATATGCATATATTTTAAGGACGGGAACTGTCAAAACGAGTGATACATATAGCTTGATGTTGTATTGCCTTAAGACAACACGCGCACCATTGACATGTGTAATGTTGCATCATGTCCTCAAGATATCAAAGCCCTGCTTTAAGAGGCTATAATTGATGATATCAAATGTTTCATTGCATGAATTGACTTTGTAACGTCGTTATTGATGCTGACACTCTCGCCTATCAGTTTGGCATATCAAACTCAAACAGACCCATAATGTCATTTTCAAGAAGTCCTTTTCTCAACAGCACCAGGGAAATAGGATTAACCTAAAAAAATATGAACATCCGGCAATGTTAAAGCCACTGATCGCCCGTACTCCCACAGACAATACTCGTGGCACACGCCAACACTCAAACCACTATAGTCCGTCCAACTCCAGACAGCTTCGTCTTCAAATGGCTTCTTCAAGGACCCCCAGCAACTAGTCAGAAGTAAAGCCAATAAGTAACTCCGTCTTCCTGGGGTATATGATCATAGACTCAGAAATTACTCCTGTAGAGGGTTTGGGTCTAATTTGGCCTGTCTGTGAGATGGAGAAGCTGTGGTGAGAAAAGCTTTCAAGTATACCAACTTCAAAGACTTCACTCCACTCATTCATAATGGCAAGTACTCCCGGAGTTCTGTATGATAGGCGGTGTGTGATCCCAATATTGGTTTGTGCTAGGGAGAATTCGGAAATGATACCAAGTCAATTTGTGTTCTAAATTCGAAATATAATTCTTTCCACGAACAAATGATAGGGGAAGATGTTTGTGGTCCCTCATAGGACACATGGACCGTAATTTGAAGTGCAGAGTTGCCTCCCTTACCATTAATAGGATCCGTGTGTTATTGACCTTGTTGCAGCTGTGATGAGGACATTGGGTGCTTCATGTTCAGGCCTTGTCTGTCAGATAGGGAACTGTCAATGACACTGTTCATTAGATCATAGTTACGATTATCACGATGACACCAGGTGTTTGACCAGATAAGAGAATGTGTGACACTGGTGGTGATTCTAGTAATAAAGGTGACACCAGGTGTTTGACCAGATAGAGAATGTGTGACACTGGTGAAGATCCCAGTAATAAAGGTGACACCAGGTGTTTGACCAGATAAGAGAATGTGTGTCACTGGTGGCGATCCCAGTAATAAAGGTGACACCAGGTGTTTGACCAGATAGAGAATGTGTGACACTGGTGAAGATCCCAGTTATAAAGGTGACACCAGGTGTTTGACCAGATAAGAGAATGTGTGACACTGGTGGCGATCCCAGTAATAAAGGTGACACCAGGTGTTTGACCAGATAGAGAATGTGTGACACTGGTGAAGATCCCAGTAATAAAGGTGACACCAGGTGTTTGACCATATAGAGAATGTGTGTCACTGGTGACGATACCAGTGATAAAGGTGACACCAGGTGTTTGACCAGATGGAGAACCCGTGTCACTGGTGACGATCCCAGTTATAAAGGTGACACCAGGTGTTTGACCAGATAAAGAACGTGTGTCACTGGTGACGATCCCAGTTATAAAGGTGACACCAGGTGTTCAGCAGCAAGACAGCAAACAACTGTGAATTAGTACAGAGCATATTTATAGTGATAACGTTAACACAAGGTGCTCGCTACCTGACGGGTGTTCACAAGGTAACACATAGTGTTGTCATAAACTTAAGTGAAACTGATCACCAAAAAGTGACTTTAAGTTAGCAATATACATGCTCAAAACGAAAATCAGTCAAATAATTGTCATCCATGGCACATCAACACCTACCAGATATAGAACAGACATACTCAGGTTTCGAAAATCTAATAATGGTGATATTCAATTTAATATTTCTCAAAAGATTGGTTTTCTTCATATTTTCCAGAAATATTCCTACGCCAGTTCGTGTTCTGTTGATACTATCGCCGTCCATCTGAGTGACGTTGGCTGCCGACAACTCTTCACCAAAACTGGATATTACAAGGTAAGACCCCTCGGCTCAACATTACAGTGTTCATTATCGTCTCAGAGAGCCTTGATTTGTGTCATAGGCAGGGGTCCCCTGAAGACACATTGATTTTCAAAGAACCACGGTGGTGTGACATAATGTTAGATATGCTGACTGACTCTGCCATTACGTCATTGCGAGGGAAATGTATATCAAAATGCAGTTATTTGCTTGACGTTGAACTACTTCTGACACAGCTCTGAATCGAATGTTAGGTCAGAATGGGTTTTCTTAGCCTAACAAATATAGACTAATTAGTCCATTTTGATGTTGTAAGATCCTTTGAACTTCTGTATAACCCTCAGTCAAAATACGGGGGAAACAGTTGAAAAAGTGGCTTAAATAGTGAAACTTTCAGTCATTTTACACATTGACTGCAACATATACACGTTCGGTCATTTTACACATTGACTGTAACATATACACGTTCAGTCATTTTACACATTGACTGTAACATATACACGTTCAGTCATTTTACACATTGACTGTAACATATACACGTTCAGTCATTTTACACATTGACTGTAACATATACACGTCCAGTCATTATTCACATTGACTGTAACATATACACGTTCAGTCTTTATTCACATTGACTGTAACATATACACGTTCAGTCATTATTCACATTGACTGTAACATATACACGTTCAGTCATTATTCACATTGACTGTAACATATACACGTCCAATCATTATTCACATTGACTGTAACATATACACGTCTAATCATTATTCACATTGACTGTAACATATACACGTCCAGTCATTATTCACATTGACTGTAACATATACACGTCCAGTCATTATTCACATTGACTGTAACATATACACGTTCAGTCATTATTCACATTGACTGTAACATATATACGTCCAATCATTATTCACATTGACTGTAACATATACACGTCCAGTCATTATTCACATTGACTGTAACATATACACGTTCAGTCATTTTACACATTGACTGCAACATATACACGTTCAGTCATTTTACACATTGACTGTAACATATACACGTTCAGTCATTATTCACATTGACTGTAACATATACACATCCAGTCATTATACACATTGACTGTAACATATACACGTTCAGTCATTATTCACATTGACTGTAACATTTGCACGTCTAGTCATTATTCACATTGACTGTAACATATACACATCCAGTCATTATACACATTGACTGTAACATATACACGTTCAGTCATTATTCACATTGACTGTAACATTTGCACGTCTAGTCATTATTCACATTGACTGTAACAAATACACGTCCAATCATTATTCACATTGACTGTAACATATACACGTTCAGTCATTATTCACATTGTCGCCATGTATTCAGATAAACAGCATTGCTTCTCTCTTGACATGGTGTGCAGCATGGCCCGTAGTATAGATTGCTGCAATAATGCCCCTCGACTTTAAGCAAAGTTCGTTTGTTGTGTTTCTCATTTATTGAGAGGGAAGTCGCCATGTATTCAGACAAACACCATTGCTTCTCTCTTGACATGGTGTGCAGCATGGCCCGTAGTATAGATTGCTGCAATAATGCCCCTCGACTTTAAGCAAAGATCGTTTGTTGTGTTTCTCATTTATCGAGAGGGTTAGAAGGTTTCTTTGTATTGTCTGGGCAAGTGTTTGTTTGTGTGTCATTTAACACCGCACTCAGAAATATTCCAGCTATATGGCGGCGGTCTTTAAATAGTCACGTCTGGACAAGACAATCCAGTGATTGACATCATGAGCATCCATGGATACGATGACATGCATCAACCAAGTCAGCGAACCTGACCACCCGATCCCGTTAGTCGCTTCTTACGACAAGCATAGTCACATCTTAGGACAAGCATTGGTTTACTGAAGTCCAATTCTACCCCGGAATCCCCAGGGGTTTCTTGGTAAATGTGATAAAAAAGGGAACATACGTAGACGTCACATGTAGTCATGACTCGTCTAACTCAGTTCGGCAATGCTGCGATACAGTCTCTGATAACATGGAAGTCCTTGAGTGGAAATTCCAGTAGTTGATAATCAAACACGTTTCCTAAAATGTGTTGAAGTAATCTTGTGGAGACACAAATGAGGCCCTCATTCCAAGAAGGGTCAGTCGATGCTGAGTATACCAATAGTATCGACGTAATTCGCATGGCTGTAAATGTGGAGGATCATCTTACCTTATTAGTCTGTCTCTGGTTCCACGTTGGTCCGCTATAGTGTCATCAACTGCCTGTAGGTCAAATTTAAACTGTGGCATGGTATCTCAGTGGGCGAGCACTAAAGAACTAATTTACCAACATCAAGCAACCCACACACCACACACGCGTACCACACACACACACACACACACACACACACACACACACACACACACACACACACAAAAACCATCACACAACCATCACACACACACATACAAACACACACACACACACATATGACACATACACACACCACACAACACACGCATCCCACTCACATACACCACGCACATGCGTACCACACACACACACACACACAGAAACACACACATGACACACACCACACACACAAATACACAACCATCACACACACATGACACATTCACACACATGACACATTCACACACCACACAACACACACACACCACCACCACACTCAACACACACACAAACACACACACACACACAAATGCACACATACACACACAAACACACACATGAAAAACACCACACATACCACACACACATACACCACCATCACACACATGACACATACACACAACACACTCACCCCACTCACATACACCACACACACAACACACACACACCACAAACACCACACACACAAACAACACACAACACACACACACCACAACACACCACACCACACACACAAACAACACCACCACACACTCGCCACACCCACATGCACCACACACATACGCCACACACACACACAAACACCACACACACACACCGCACTCACATACACATACACACACAGCCACACAAACACAAACACACACACACACACACACACACACACACACACATACACACACACACACACACACACACACACACACACACACACACACACACACACACACACACGTATCAGGGTTTAGTATCAGATGTATAAATCCCTGGTTCTAAGGTCACTCGTGCGTCACACATATTGACACCTGACTGTTGACTCGGACACAAGATGACACAAGGGAACAAAAGACTTATGCCGTTCCCGACACAAATACCCAGCTGTGCTATACCTGGGTTTCCTAATTCCCCCAGGAAATTGCTGCCTGCTAATTCGACTGAGCGTGAACATTGATATGACAGTTTGGAAGGACGTGGAACTATACATCGACGAACCGCTTCACACATCTATGGCGTCACAATACCTCGCCAACAGCTGTATAATCTGCTCTCAAGATCTGTTTAATATACCGCAAAAGGTCTGTCCTGAAAACAATGAAGGCATTCGTTTTTTGTGATTTGATTTGCCTAAGGTGCCTTTCCGGTGCACCAATAACAGAATGATGATGCACACATGGTGGGTTTCATCCGACATTAAAGTCCACCGACATTTTCTGGTTTTGATGGGTACGTGGGGGAATGATTATTGCCGAAGTAGCAAATTCCAGCTGAGACCACGGCGGCCAGTGACCAATCCAGTTTGGGCAAGACAAACAAATGACTGATAGCCTAAAACCCATGATGACGATCAGTCAGGTCCGACATTGTGACCACCCGATACCCTTTATTGCGTGAAGATACGTGTAAGAATTGATCTTCAGTAACCTATGCTTGCCGTAAGAGACGACAAACTGGATCGGGTGGCCAGGCTTGTTGACGTAGTTGATGCATCCCAATCACGTAGATAGATGCTCATGATGTCAATCACTAATTTGTCTTGTCCAGACTTGATTAGTATCAGATCACTGTCATATAGCTGGAATATGCAAACAAACAAACAAAAGTATTGGGAAATGACTTATTTTGACCCAAAATTGGGGGGCATTATTTCTATAAATGTGAATGAGAAGATAACTCCCACTTCATGAACACAGAAAGAGGCACCGCCTTTTAAAGATGGCGATGATGATGATGATGATGGTGATGATGATGATGATGATGATGTTAGAGATTTAACGAGCGCTTCCGGTGTTGCCGATTTCCCATAGTATGGGATCTCAGGCACCCGACTGCACCAATGTTCATGGTTAATGTCAACGTATAGTGTATTTGGTTCAAATTGGTATTTCATGTATAAAATCTCAACACGGTAGTTTGTCTAAAAAGGCGTGATATTAAAAATATTATAAGAATTTGTCTTTTTACAGAGAAAATAAGCTTCTCAATCTTATCCAAAAATCATTCTAAACCAAGCCGGAAATTAACAGACTTTTCTCCACTGGCAAAGCCAGACTCCCCAGGCACTGCGCCATCCGGCGACAGGGGGCGCTTTTCTAATGCGCGTCATTAACTCCCATTGACGACCAATCAGTGGGCGGCAGCTCATCCCCCCTTTAACGAGGCTATTATGATGGGGGATAAGGGGCTTCGGCCAGACAAGAAATGGCACTAATTTCAACAGATAGGTGGAGAATTTGAATAGATATGACAGTACAGCTTCAGCAGGGTATTACCAAAAATTGCAAATTTCTTCCACTCAAAGTAGAAGTTTTCAGCCGAACGTGTCAATATGTATAGTCTGATGTGAATAACGACCGAACACCGCAGGGCAAGGGCCAATGTCTTCCCATTAGATGCATATTGCGGGTTAAATATGGCAATCTCGCTTAATATGCACCATGTGAACATGTTATAATTTGTCAGACACCATGCCTTTCAATACATGGGGAGACAATTGTGTTTTCTCATTACAAGAAAACCGGAAGTGTCATTATATATACTAATACACATGCGTCGAAGAGTTGGACGTTTTCGTAATCATTTACTGCGCAATATTTTAACAATGTCGTTATTT